TCCGTTTAAAACCAGATCCAACTGTCTGTTATTACAATTAGGAACGCTGTTACTTTGACTGAACCCACAAAAGGACAAAAAGTATTCATAATAATTACAGATTTCCACATTTGCTGAATAAAGATTAAAATCTCCTAACACAATTACATTATTATGGTATTTTGTACAAATTTTTTCAATAATATTAAACAATATCATATATTCATTAATATCAGCCTTTGGAGGAATATACACAATACAACAGGCAAATAAAAATCGTGTTTTTAGAAATACATCAGCGCAAACCATCTCAAAACAATGAGTGTCCAGGTCGACATTGTCCGGTATTGGCACTGATCGCAACTCATACTGAGGGGTTGCTATTAGGCACACACCACCGTGCTTTCCATTTGAAATATTCCACCTACTCGTATAAGTCCTAAAATAGTAACTGTTTTAGAGCTACCTCTTACTTTCAATTCAGCTCATTCCCAATAATATTATGCAAACAAACTCACTCTAAATCGCACTCCAGCGTCTATTCATAACAGATGAGTTACTATTATTTTCTTTTGGTCATTAAGCTCCAAGTCTAATTTCGCATTCTAGCTGCAACACCTGTATCCCCGTAAATAATCATATTTGTTTCGTTCTCTTTCGTTAGCTGATTAATGTGTATTCTCTTAGTAGTTTATTGCCAGAAAACCAATTTCGGTTTGCATGAAAAATACGAAAAAGTTCCAGTTTTACTCGTATATTGTTCGATTGTGCTAGTTTTAGCAATGATTCAACATTCGCTCTTTTGTTTGTTTCCTATCGAGTTTCGCTTAGAAATGTGTGGGAAAATATCTAATTGCGAAAATGGGTCGTGATTGAATGCGAATAAAGTGTACTTTTGAATAACAAGTCATTTGGTTCCCATAGAACAAACTTAATTTGCTTAGTTGGGAACTAGTGGGGCAGTGTGAAATTATGTTCAAAGATTTCTTCCTGTGAATTTACGCAAAGATGTAAATCCTTACAAAAATGTTCATCTATCCGTACAAGAGCCAAAATATCTAACAGATTCTTCATAAATATTGTCAAACTTAAGCGGCAGTTGGCGGGGCACATAGCTAGTAACCTGATGGCCGCTAGGGCAGAAAAGTTTTGAGTGGCAATAATCAGACCTCGCTGGATGTACTGACGAACTAGTGAAAGTCACGAGAGACCTGGATGGTGGCAGTGCAGGAACGTTGTAGAAATTGGGATGTCCTTTGATTGGCACGACAATGTGCCGACAGATTAAAATTCTAGTAGGTCGAAAACAATAGACTTACCCTCGTTCGTGCCTTTTGATAACAAATTGCTAAAAAAAAATAGTTGTTCAAAGTTTAATAAGGACGCAAACCAACCTAAATATAAAGATTAAACCGTACTTTTCCATTACTAAAAGTTCTATCCCAAATTAATCTAGTAGAATCTTCTCGACTTTTCTGCCTCAAATATTGGCCCGGACTACTTGAGTCTGTAAATAATAATATTTTTATTTAATATAGGCAAGACATTTTTAAGCAATAAACATTTCGAGGCCACTATTTCCACTCGAACTTTTGTAAATAAAATTATGTACAAAACATTCTACGAGTAATAAAATAAAATCGCGTACGTCAAAAATATGAGTTGGTATTTTATTTCAGTAACAATGCGATTAAGTTTTGAAATTCCCTCACAAATATTGTTAACATTTCTATTTAAGCTGTCATGTTACTTGGAGGTTAACAGGGGTTTAAAAATAACTATACAGGCTATAGGGGAGAGTTCGGTATATTGTACCGCCGGGTAAATTGTACCACCCTCATATTTCGTAAAGTATTTATTGAATGTCTGTAATTGCAACACTCAGCGATACACAACTAAATTCAATTAATATCGGCCATGTGGTTTTTGCCGTGACAACGAACACGTGTGTTTTATTTTGAAAAGTATTTTTTCATTGTTTTCAAGTAACTTTTGACAATGCATGTTTAGTTTGTAATTTTGTTAAATTTAATCACAGGGTGTTTCTAATATGTTATTTAGAAGCGTAAATTAGTGTGGATTACAATGGGGATGTTGCCTGGGTCAAAAAGCAAGAGTTTTAATTAGTCCGTCAGTTAACTTATCAGAAAATACTCTACACGTATTTTTCACTTTTTCAAACTAATGAAAATTTAAAGAGATAAAGCGCCCCAAAGTTCATAAGAAGAGGCCCGTGACGTCAACGCTTGCTTAAAAATGCCGCACGTTGTGACGTCGTGCGCAACTTCAACGCACCATAACTATGTAATTATTTGTTAGATTGACAAATAAAAATATATAAGTCCAATATTTTTTGATATTAAACATTACGGACTAAAAAAATTTTTTTAGGCAACTAGCCTATTATTTGATATATTTTACGGTATTTATAAGATATATTTTTTAGCGATTTTTTAAAAGCACTATCACCTAGTCGGCTAAATTGTACCACATCAAGTTGTATGGAACTTTACCAAAGGATTTTGAATTTTTTTTTAGTAAATCATATTTTGAAGTTATAATAGCGTAGTTATGTTTCACTAACAATAAATGGAAGCAAAAGACTGGCAAAGTAGATTAGATACAAGTGTGCGTTACGATAATTGGAATTACAAAACTTTTACTCAAAATCGTGATAACGTGTAAAACAATATCAATTGTCTATGTTATTAAGTACTGGTCCTTTTCGTTACCTAATTTGTTAAGAATGTATCGTATAATATTTTGCCATAGTTTTTTTATAGGCTTGAAATTTATTGAAATCCAATTTAGTAACCCTGTGGTACAAATTATCGAACCGGTTGGCTAAATTGGACCGAAGCTCTGAACTCGTATTTTGTTGATTTGTGCTAAATATACAACAATTGTGTTGATTAATACCTACGAAATAGTAAGTTGAATAATTTCTCTTTAATTATATACCATGAACATTAGCAAAAACAAAAGAAAACTATGTGTAAAATGGGATTGAAAAAAACTGGTCCAAATTAGCGGACTCTCCCTTATACTATTAAGCCTATTTTTAACCAGAACTTAGAGAAAATAAAGACCAATTAACCCGAATTCGAAAACCGTTAACTACAGTCTAATAAATCCAAGTCTCTCATTGATTTAAATTTTGAAATTCAATTTTATTAATCACTTAAATCTTCGCTTGAATTTGAATTTGTTGGTCGTTTCATGATACGGGCTTGAAACTCAATACCTATCATAGCAAAACGAAAATAGACCGGCCCTCAAAACAATGGTTTACGTAGGTGTTTTAAGAGCCATTTCTCGCTGTAACATTTCATTTAGTGCCACTTGCTCTATTTTACAACTATGTTTTCGTTCGCATATAATTTTATGTGGGATAAGCTACTAAGCGTGCGTTTATGGCAGTTTGAAACATAGCCAAGAAGAATTTCGATGGCTGCAAGATAAAAATAGGATATGTGGGTGCTTAACCTAAATATGAAACAATGGATTACTGCTAAATATGTAGAGTGTATGGTACTATGTAGCTTTTAATGATGCATTATGTCGAGCTTATGGTAATGTAGAGATACCAGTTGAAGCTATAGGAGTTAAATGACTTTAAGCTACACAACCAAACTAGTAAAGTATATTAAAAATTCAAATCGATCACCTAGAAGCACGCTAAGCAGAGCTTGTACTATATCAACTGGAATCTTTATACATTTGGGCCCTCGCCCACGGCGACTTTTTGTTGTGATGCAGTCGCGCTGCTGTAGCGCGTTAGTAGCGCGTTGGTATCACTTCTGTAGTGCGTTGCAAATGCGACTAACGCGCGTTAGTAGCGATGCTGTTGCGCGTTTGCGAAACTTCGCCTTTAAGTAAAAGGCTGCTAATCTCTCTAACACTTGTTTGAATTCGGTTCGAATCAAAACCAGAAAACCATCAAAATTGGAATCAAAAAATGATTTGATCATCTTATTTACATCCTAACTTTTAAAAAAGTCATTTTATTTATCTCATCTCATTGATCTCATTTTACACAAAGGCCACTCCGATCTCAGGTCACGAAATATTCCTCAACAAATAACTTGACAAGTCCCGCAAAATACGACGTGAAACGTGAAAGTTTGTTCTATTCGAACGATCAGAGTTTCATCGTTGGCCGTACAAAAAGGTACTAAAACCAAATTACACTCTAAAAGCGAAATTTCCTCAAAACCCGTTCCCGGCAACTTCGGGAATACATTTTTACGCGACCACAGTTTGCCCATAGGAACCTGTGAAACTCCGCGCTAAATTGCGCCGCCTTGTGTAGAGTCCTCAGCTAAATTCTTTTGGACATATCCTGTCAAAGACAAAAGCGTAGATGTAACTTTAATTAAATAATGAGTGTTTTTTTTAATATCCGGCTGAAACTGCCGGAGTTCGGTTTTTGAAGACAAACATTGAATATACAAGATTCAATTAACAATGTATTTTTAATGGCATGTATTTAAATGATCTTTTTAAATTAGCAAAAACGGCAAATAAAAAAATCTATTTGGTCGTCTATTTTAATGATTGATCCTCTTTCTTTGAGACATAAAATAAATAAAATCGATCGATATTTTAACCTCTTTTGAACTACGCAAAAAAAATTTNGCTGGCGTCAATAAAGTCATCAAGTGCAACAAATTACTTGAGGTATTACGAGCAGGACGAAACCCATGCTGTGCATCCGATAACTGAGCCCTTACCTGTACATAAATCGATTGATATATAGACGACTCGAAGATTTTTGCTGGCGTATTTAAAATGGCCACCGGTCTATAGTCACAAGCATTTGTTTTAAATCTACCCGGGCAATAGCTTTTGTGTGGAATTCCTTGATAACCTCAGTTTTCCAAGATTGGGTCTTCGCTCTATGATGTGCTCTATGATAGATCACAGGTGATTGTGCACTTTTTTGGTAAATCATTGTAATCAAAAGCAAGGCCATAAAAAGTGACAGAAATTAGCATTGATTTTGATTCTTTATTTTTAGCATGACAAGGCAGGTATTTCACTGCAACTAAATTTTAACCCTGACACAAAGTTTTTAGTTCACTCCTCAACCAGTTTGGTTCTTGGTCAGAGTGGGGAGTGTGGGCGAACTCTTCCGTTTGCCCCTGACGAATGAAGAGGGTCGTGCTCGGGACTCTACAGTGAATACTAATAAAATGACATGATACTGTGATAATAATAAAGTCCTTAATCCAGAATAATCTTTCCCTACAGCCTCTCATCATCTACTCGTCCATCGGCGGCGCCATCTGCTGCGTGCTCCTCGGTAGCCAGCTCCAGCTAGACTGGGGCCCAGGCTGGCTGACCGCGCTCGTGCTGTATGTCTTCTGCGCCGTCTACAGCTTCGGCGGCGGCACTGTGCCTTTCGTGCTGATCGCGGAAGTGTTTTTGCCCGAGGTTAGCTCCAGTACCAGAGGTTTTTTTTGGCAGGTTACCTCAAGCCGTGAAACGCCTTCTCTGAAAGACCGAGCCATAGTCTGGGGCAAAGCCAGAAAGGATGTCTAGCATTAACTTGCAGTTCCGTCCCAATGGACTTTGGAGGATACCTTAGGTTCTAGTGGGAAGGCCCACCCGTGTGGCAGGGAGAGCTCCACATTTCACTCGGTCTCCCCGGACTAGTGGGTTGGCAATTTAATGCAATGCCTGACAAAAATGAAAAGTAAGGTTAGTTAAATCAACTTGAGTGGCCGAAAAGAAAACGATTCTACGTGCTTCAGAAAGCACGCCATATTGGTCTGATTTAGTCAATCATAATGTAAGATTCCATATTTCAGACGGCACGTTAAGCCGTCGATTCGATTAAACCCCGTGTCAGATGCCTACGGCGGGTCATTGTGTCAATAACTGAAGCCACAGTTATTACAACCCACACGATAAAAGCCTCCAACTTTTTTTTCATTTTCAGGTAAAGAGCTTCATGACGATGCTAGTCGTGGAGTGGTTCTGGCTCTGTTCCTTCTTAAGCCTGATCATCTTCAACCCTCTCATGATACTCCTGGGCCTTGGAGGAGTGTTCTACGTGTTCGCTGCAGTCTGCGTGGTCACTGCAGTAATGTCGGCGATGTACGTTCCGGAGACGAAGAGACTGACACTGGAGGCTGTACAGCTGATGCTGGCAGAGAGGAGGAACTTTTAAGAATAAGAATAAGAAAAGAGTAAGAAGAGAATAAGAAAAGAGGAAGAAAAGAATAAGAAAAGAATAAGAAAATAATAAGAAAAGAACAAGAAAAGAATAAGAAAAGAACAAGAAAATAATAACAAAAGAATAAGAAAAGAGGAAGAAAAGAATAAGATAAGAATAAGAATAACAATGAGACGAACAAAACAAGAGTAAACATCTTAAAAATATGCTGTAGATTCGATTCGCTCAGCAAAAATGGCGCATGACACAAACGTCATGTCGAGAAGCTGGTTTTCAGCGAGAACCAACTCGTGATGTGGACGATGACGGTCTTTTTAGGTTTTGATTTAATATAAATCAACTGTAGTTTCTAAAGAATAATGCGTTATATTCTGGGTCCTGCCCTATAGTATAAGCTTAAATAACTAATTTAAATAGTAAACTATGAGCAGGACCAACTCACACTTGGCTGTTTTTAAATAACATAAGTTTCTCAAAACAATGAGTGTCCAGGTCGACATTGTCCGGTATTGGCACTGATCGCAACTCATACTGAGGGGTTGCTATTAGGCACACACCACCGTGCTTTCGACCATCCGCTCGGTCACAACGCAACACCTGATGGCCAGGCGGGATAAATTCGGCATCGTAAATTGACGCATTACACCCGGTTTCCGTGATAGCGAATAAATTAGAAGCTGAGGCCTGAACAAATGATAGGAAACTTGTTAATTTTGTTCGCAAACCTCTGACATTCTGGTAATGTATTTCTGTGATTCTATTTACTGTGTGACTAGGTCGATTTAGACTTCTCTGCCTCTCTACTTCTCCGAAAGTTCTGACGCCACGGCTTAATACATATATCAGCCGTCCAGTTGGCGGGATCCAGAACCGTATTTACCAGTCTTGACGGAGTTCCGATTTTAAACGATGCATAATTGCCTCGTGGTTTAAGCGATTCCACCGTGCAGATAGTCTCCTTACAAATAGATTTTAAATGATCAAGTACCTGGTCATTGCCTGTCCCCTGCTTCACATAAAATAAGTGCAGATATTTCCACCTTTCCGATGCTTCGAGAGCCAAAGCTCCCGGAACGGCTGTACCCCGCAAAACTGGAGGAACCGACTTTCTCTGGCGTTTACTCCTCACTTCCGTCCATTCCCCTGCTTCCTCAGCGTTGGGGACAGTTTCATTAATGAGAGAGATGCTGTGCTGTTTCATAGGGTTGGCTCGAGGTCCAGATGTCGGTCCTTGATCAGATTTGGCAACCTGATGATGCACAGGAAGAGTCGATGAACCATCACTGGAAGTGTCCTGGTGCTTCGGTAACGTTGCCACGCTGGTTTTCTTTGGCTCGTCGGTTTTCACCCTAATACTCTGAGCGATCACTTCAACTTTGTTTTCCAATTTGTCAAATTTTGTTGACAAACTGCTGATTTTACTTATCTCTAATTTTATTGCTAACAGATGTTCATTAAATAGCTTACTGATCTTAGCCATAATACGATTCTCGAATTCCGTCTGCAAGGTCTTCAATTCATCGATCATAGTCGTACGCATCCTTTCTATTACGCTATCCACATCTGTGTCCTCCTGATCAGTAACCTGCGCACGGCGTGCCCCAGTACGCACTGTAACGTTGTCCATACTACACATTGATATGTCTGGGCAGTCGCTTGCGATACTGATGTCATGTGCATGATAACCATGGCGCACTGGTGTTCCTGAATTATCAGTTTTAGGTATTTTACTGCGGCATTCAATGCATATCCAGGCTTTTTTATACTCCGTTGATAATGTGGAGTACACTTCCAGAGTAAAGTTGGCACACACATTATCGAAAGATTGTTTGCATTTACTGCAACACATTATCCCGTCTCCATTGCCTATAACAGTTCGACATCCCCCGCAGATTGCCCTTGTAGTCATTTTTTATGTTGTACCGAAGTGCGCAGTAGGTAAATCAGCAGACAGCAGCAATGAACGCACCACAAGGACACGTTGTTGCAAAATTCCTGTAGGCGCAGCTTAAAATCAGATCGGCAATCGTAGTCGCTTTCCGTAGCAGTTACCGTGCGCCCGCCGAGTAAATCGACCGCTCACCGCTTCCGCCCAACCGAGTAAGTAATGAAACAATGAAAGTAGTGGTTTTTCAGCGACGACCGCCGAAACGATCTCCCACTTATGCTACACCTCTCATGTCTCCGTTACTCGTGAGTTATGTAGCTTTCGAATGGTGAAAGAATTTTTAAAATCGGTCCAGTAGTTTTTGAGCCTATCCATTACAACTAAACAAACAAACAAACAAACAAACAAACAAACAAACAAACAAACAAACAAAGTTTTCCTCTTTATAATATTAGTGTAGACACATGGTTAAAAACTTTGAGAAGCATCGTCCAGCGCTGGTATTCTCCGAAGGGATTATAGAGCGAGCTTATATGGAGGCGCCCGCAGCGAACATTCTTTATTGAGCGCATATTTCTTACTTAGTTCCAAGAGATATGCGTTCCGTCGATGCGATACTGACGTCAGTTCTTATAGACTCGTTTGATGCGGGAAATAGTGGTGTTCGCATTGTTGTATCATTTATCATCGGCTAGTATATTTCCCGCGACACTTCACGAGCTAGTTTCGTTTTAAGGTAGAGCTTCGCTCGCAGCTTTTCTTGCATTGGTTGTACGATGTATAGACATTGCATTGTGTATTGTGTACCTACTTTTTAAATGGAGTAAGATTTATTTAAATAGTTCTTGAGAATAGTAACTACACTACACTTAAACATAACACACTTACCAAATTCGCTATTTCTCTAATTATACTCGTACTTGTGTAGGTAGGTTAGGTTACTTAGGTTTTAATACATGAGAGAGCGGACATAGATACATAATGTTCGTTCGTTCGTTCGATTATGAGGTATTCCTATTTTCAGAAGGCTGGTTACTTATAGCAAAGTTTCATATTATGAGAAACGCTGATCTAATGATCAGATACTCTCAGACACTCTGATGAGTGATTCGTTTACTACTGGACGAGATCACCATGTAGAGTTTTATTAGTTTGCCTATTGTCATCATAATTCATGTTTAATTTTGCATCTTGTAATTAATAAACATAGATAACTTTGGCGCTCTAAGTAAACCACAAATCATAACTTAACATTACTATAAATTAAAAACTTTCGATACATTACCACACCTACACGCCGTGCTCTGGTTCATACAGCGCACAAAATGGGAAAGGCACCTATCACTTTGGGGTTCGGTATCCAGTTCGGTAACATTGTAGGCTTGACACAACCTGATTGTCCGATAAGAAATATAACTCCGTCTTTCGTACGACACGGTCTCTATCTTTCGTAGAGGTTGGAAGACCGATTTCAGCGGCGCTACAAACTACGGAAACTTTTTTTTTATGCATAACAAGGCCGGTATTTGACTACAATCGCACCTGATACTCGTATAATATCTGATTTCGGATTGATATAATATCCGTTGTTGTCGCTTTTGCTAGCTTTTCTCTTCGAGTGAGAGGCATATCAATGGATGTCTGAAAATAAAATGATATTCATACTATTTGCAGAAACCTTGGACCACGCTAATTCAATTTATTCTCTTTCATCGAGAATTCATTTGCCATCGGATTTCATCAAACCGCTTCCAAATTAATAGCAGTAATCGGATCACGTGGAAAACAATGCGAGTACATACCGATATTAATTATCGCGATGGATTATTCATAGTTAATCGTTTGCGCATTTTAAACGAACCGGCTCAAATTACAGGCATTTTACAGTTTTCTGCAGTTTTTGTGCACTGCAACATTGTATAGTATCGGATGCAGAAATAAGTGCACTTGTTCGAGGCGAAAGGAAAGTGGGCTTGATGGCGTTATTATCATAATAAGAGTGAGTCGAGCTTGTGCTGAAGTTATCCCAAATTTAGATCACAGATAAGATAGGAGCAAACACTCCTCCCTGGTGTTACTGATCGTCTTATAGATGATTGCATAATAAGCATGAATATTGACCGCCTGGAACTATAAACTCTTGCAAATTACTTTTCGGCCTGTATTAAGTGGTAATATGAAACTACCTACTAGGTGAACCGACGATCTGGTCGCGGGAAGAGCCTGGATGCGGGCAGCGCAGGACCGTGCATTGTGGAAAACCTTGGAGGAGGCCTTTGTCCAGCAGTGGACGTCATTTGACTGAAACGAACGAACGAACGATGAAACTATCTATGTAAGCAAAGACCTAATACATACGAAACTCATTCCAGAGCGTAAAGCATTTCCTTCTCGAAAAAAGGTAGCATTCATTTCATTTTTTTTTAATTAAACATCTGATTATAATCATCTTTGAAATTACTTTTTCCACTCGGTTCCAGGTAGGCTCTACCTTATTACTTATATGCATCACGCCCCTGCTGAAGGCAGCGTCGGCCCACCCCTAGCTTTCTACAGATGATAATCAGGCGCATTGTGAGTAACAGCATGCTCACGATTTCTTTCTTCCACTCGATTATTACGATTCTCACAGCGTTCCCTGCTTGTCATTCACCGATCCGCAGTTTTCGATTATTTTTCTTTGGATAACAGACTTTAGTTATGAAAACCGCGTGCGAAAGCTTGTTCTCATTTCATTAAAATTACTTGAATGTTCTGGTCAGACTTTAAATGACAAATTATGTATATCTTGTTAAACATAACCTGTGGAAAAAGCTTAATTTGCCATTAACTCTTAGCCGGTTCCCTTACTATGTAGCCTCCATTACTCGGAGTTGTTCGTAATCAAGAATCATGGAAATCTTAATTTGCAATTACATTAATAACCGAGCAAAAACGCTGGCATAACGTTTCGATTAAACTTTTGATTCGTGCTCGTTTTTAATAAGCAATATGAGTTAATTTCACGACTCACTGCGTTTAATTATCTATGCGGCTGTACAATAAATTGGTTAAAGTATAAACAGTGATACAAAATCATCATTTCGGGCTATACAGGATGTATAAGAACATGAACAATATTTAAAACCACATAACTGATCAGATTAGTAGTCTAAGCGCTGATAT